CATCAAGAGACAAGTCTTGTGATAATTTAATAGACCCAATGATATGTATTTCTGCATGTTCTCCATTGGGTAAACCAACAAATTCATGATGCGTCGCAGTTTGATTATGTGTAGGAGACGAATGAGAAATATGATCCGTTGCCCTGCTATCCACAATCCAATATAATGTGGAATGTGGATGTGCAATGTTACAAGTGGGTGTAATGATACCTGTTGCATGTGCTAATGGCTGACCATTACCCTTCTTATTACGAAACATAACAATAAGTTCATTGTACTCCTTAGTAGTGAAGGTTGGGAAGATCCTGCCCCCGAGGTATGACCGGTTTGAATTGCATGTGGAGTGACCAGGTTGTCATTCCGATTGGTCACCTCTATTTGGCGCTCATGCTAAAGAACCAAACCGTGAACTTTGCGTGTATCAAGCAATTGATTCATCATTAGAATCGATCCACAAACCGTTGAGTATGTGTCGTTCAAGCTCATTAGAAATTGCATCACTCTTTCTTTTTCTTCTCTCTCAATGTAAGATCTCACATCGACCAACGAAGAGGGGGTTGATGTGCCTTATATGTACATGCCTGCATCAATCTAGCACAAGGCCTTTTGGGAGCTCACTGGCTTCGGATTCATAGGAACTCCGAAGTTAAGCGAGTTTGGGCTAGAGCAATCCCAGGATGGGTGACCCACTGGGAAGTTCTCGTGAGCTCCCAAAAACAAAACCATGAAGGCAGAGAGGGGGGCCCAAAGCAGACAATATCGTGCTACGGCGGAGCGATTCGAGACGTGACAATTTGGCATCAGAGCCACTCTGCCGTGTGGTGCGAGTGTGCCAACGAGGACGTCGGGCCCCTAAAGGGGGTGGATTGTAAGATCCCACATCGACCAATGGAGAGGGGGTGATGTGCCTTATATGTACATGCCCGCATCCATCTAGCACAAGGCCTTTTGGGAGTTCACTGGCTTCGGAGACATAGGAACTCCAAAGTTAAGCGAGTTGGGAGCTAAAACAATCTCATGATGGGTGACCCACTGGGAAGTTGCTCATGAGCTCCCAAAAACAAAACTGTGAGGGCAGAGAGGGGGGCCCAAAGTGGACAATATCGTGCTACGGCGAAGCCGATCCCGGGATGTGACAATTTGGTATCAGAGCCACTCTGCCGTGTGGTGCTAGTATGTCGACGAGGACGTCTGGCCCCTAAAGGGGGTGGATTGTAAGATCCCACATCGACCAGCGGAGAGGGGGGTGATGTGCCTTATATGTACATGCTCGCATCCATCTAGCACGAGGCCTTTTGGGAGCTCACTGTCTTCGGAGTTGTGGGAACTCCGAAGTTAAGCGAGTTGGGGCTAGAGCAATCCCAGGATGGGTGACCCACTAGGAAGTTGCTCGTGAGCTCCCAAAAACAAAATCGTGAGGGCAGATAGGGGGGCCCATAGCGGACAATACCGTGCTACGGCGGAGCCGATCCCAGGATGTGACAATTTGGTATCAGAGCCACTCTGCCGTGTGGTACGAGTGTGCCGACGAAGACGTCGGGCCCCTAAGAGGGGTAGATTGTAAAATCCCACATCAACCAACGGAGAGGGGGTTGATGTGCCTTATATGTATATGCACGCATCCATCTAGCACGAGGCCTTTTGGGAGCTCACTAGCTTCGGAGTCATGGGAACTCCGAAGTTAAGCGAGTTGGGGGCTAGAGCAATCCCAGGATGGGTGACCCACTGGGAAGTTGCTCGTGGGCTCCTAGAAACAAAACCGTGAGGGCAGAGAGGGGGGCCCAAAGCGGACAATATCGTGCTACGGCGGAGTCGATCCGGGGTGTGACAATCGACAAGTTTCTTCAGCCCTTCACAGTCACATATAAGAGCAGAGGCGGCCCTGGCCCAGGGCGACCAGGGCTACAGCCCGGGGCCCAAAGCTGAGAGGGGCACACAAATTTTGTTTATAGCCCATATATGTATATTTATTTTATATAAAATAAAAAAAAAAAGGAACCAAACTTCAAAACTAGAAGGAGCCGTTCCTGATATGTTGTGGTGTCATAAATCACTTTTTGATTCTCTCAAGGAAACTTCCTTACTTGGAAAACAAAGTCAAATATATTATATATATATATATATATATATATATATTATATAATATACTAAAAGAAAAACAAAACATTGGGAAATTAAAGAAAGATAAACCAACCTGCCTTCTTCTTCTTCTTTTTTAATCAAAAAGCAAAAAGTATCTCAAAAACAACACAAGAAGACTCTCAAATGCAAGCAAATTTTTATTTTTATTTTTTGTGATTCTCTTCCTCCAACACTGAGTTGGAAAACAATCCTTCACAAGACCAGACCAATGCCTTTCTTTCAAGGTTTTTTTTTATTTTTTATTTTTATATCTATCAGATCTTTCAAGGTTCTTCCTTTGAATAAATATTTTGTTAAAAAGACCAATGCTTCACTTGAAAATTTACCAAATACATCTAAGCAGTGTTTAATTTTGATACAAATTGTAATTTTAGTGTTTAATTTGTCTAAAGGGTTACACTTTTCGAAATTTGCCCAGGGCCTTAGAAAGCCCTAGACCGGCTCCGTATAAGAGGCTCTTGGTATAAAGCCAATTCATCCCAAAGAGCCTTAAATTTTGTATAATAAATGGAGATTGATTGTGGTCCTTGTAGGTGCTTGACAATTTCTTGTCGAATATGATAAATCATGGAGTCATTGCTTTGTGAAAAACGATCTCGAAGATCAGTCCAAACGGCTGCCGCTATTTTAGCATAGAGGACACTACTGGCTAAATCAAGATGAAGGGAGTGTAGAATCCATGACAAAATCATGTCATTGCAGCGCTGCCACAATGGGAATTTTGTGTCATTGGATGAGGGTGCCTTGATTGATCAATCAATCAATCCAAGCTTACTCTTGGCGCTGAGGCTAAGATGCATAGATCGGCTCCATTGACCATAGTTGTGGCCTTCGAGCTTGATGTTAACCAGGGAAAGTCCCAGTGTGTCGGAGTTGTGTAAAGCGAAAGAATCAGAGAGGTTGAGCGTCAGCTTTGTGAATTTTGATTCAGCCATGTTGTTGTGTTAATGATGTTTGAGATATGTTTGTAGGGTGTGTTTGTAGCGGAAGGTGTTTGGGCAGAGTCACCAGGATTGGTGCTCTGATACCATGAGAAGTTTTCATATTGTATTGATATTTAACTTCATACAGATAAAAGAACTTTATACACACAAGAAGATAGCTATTCTATGTAAATACATGCTGATTATATGCTAATTACATTTAGATCCTACAATCACTCAATATTAAATCATTGAGTTATTTTCTTTCCTTTAATAGAACCCAATTCCAATTATTAACCCCAAATGCTAAACCCTAAAAATATGCCCGAAATCAAATTACAAAAAATTACTAAACCCTAGAAATGGGGGTTTTTGACAATAATGAAAAAGAAGAGAGAGAGGTTGCAGAAAGGGAGTTGAAGAAACGATTTTTTTGTTGTTATAGAAGAGACGAGTTGAAGAAGAGGTCGCGCGCGTGAATTTTTTGGGCTGATTTTAACCCGTTAACCACCACAACAGGTTTCATTTGTTCTAAAAAAAGACGACTGACTGCACCAGTGCAATCACTGTACCACATAAGTTCTCAAGAATTTGATTCCTAACAACGCAATCCAAAAAAGAAAAGTCATCTACTCCATATCTGAAAATTTCAATTTTCCTCATACTTTTATCAATTCACCACTTACTAGACCCTATAATTAATAAAAATAAATAAATAAACTTTAAAAAAAAAAAAATTAGGACCGACGCCTTATAATTTAAGTTACTACACCTTAAAAACTGTTTAAAATATGATTCTTTTATGTAACAATATTTTATTTCAACTCACTTTATTTTGTTATTTTCTTAAGTTGATCACGATGCCATGATCGTATAAATTGTGTTAAGTTGAGGGGAACCAAAAAGAAAAGCAGAAAAAGTTACTCCATTCTCACATGGAGCAAAGCAAAACGAGAAGGAAAGAATCTATATGTTTCATACAGGTTTTTTTTTTAAGTTTTACTAAATAAATTTGCCCATGTTTTTGCTCAGAAAAAAATAAAATTGCACATGTTTAAAAATTCAACTTTAATAGAAGCTTCCACTACCACAAAAATTGAAATAGACGACGGGGAAACACCGTCGTCTTTTTCTTTTTCAAACCGTCGTTAAATCGACAGTCGTCTATTTGAAAGTCAAACTACGACGGTAATTAACCGTCGTCTATCATATGTAAAAACGACGGTTTTTAAAAGATCCGTCGTCTATTAAATGTAAAGACGACGGTTCTATAAAAAAACTGTCGTCTATTACATGTAAAGACGACACTTTTTCTTAAAAACCGTCGTCTATTGAATGTAAAGACGACGGTTTTTCCTAAAAACCGTCGTTGTTTTTATGTAAAGATGTCACTTTTTGGAAAACCGTCGTTATATATGGTAAAAACGACGGTATTTTGTTAAATACCGTCGTTGATTGTATATAAAGAAGACATTATTTGGTTTAAAATCATCATCGTTTTTATGTATAGACGACGGTAAAACCACCGTTTGTTTTCTTTAAATATGTCGTCTAATAAGTTTCCAAGCTGTTACATTGTAGTTTTTTGTTTTCTATGATTCCATACAACAATTTTAACTAGGAAACCGATTATAATGATTCAAAAATTATTTCTTTCATAAAACTTGAAGATTCAATAGTCATTACATTGTCAACCAATCTTTATTCTATTACATACATACTTCCTACCTATAATTAGAAATAAAGGAGCTACATGTTGCTCACAAATTCTCCTAATTTCATACGAACTTCATCAATTTGTTCTTGCATGTATGAGTTAGCTCCGCCTTCCTTGCACATTTTCCAAGTTGTTGTATTCCCCTCCACTCTAGCAATATCAGCAACAATAGGTCAAAAGACAATTTAAAAAAACAAAAATAATAAGACTTCACAACATGTTTCAATCCATGTCTTTCAATTCCCAAACAACAAACATTTGGTTGTTTTATTCACAGAAACTACTCGAATTTACCGTCATACAACGAATTATATGAGGAAAGAAAAGAAGTGATTACATACCTTCTCAAGTTTAGTAGCAATATTTTTAATGCATTTCATGTAGTTTAGTCAAGTACATCTCCTTCATGAGTTTAATCTGCAAATCCAAGTCAGCAAGACAAAGATGATTAGAAAGAACATTGCAGCCACATGCTTGCAGACGGCATAATTATCACTAGCACATGCGTTTATTCAAGTTTTTCTACACAATGCTTTAGAATACAATGCCAACAGAAAAGATATCGTGCATGCAACCATGAATTCATATATGCTTGTATGTAATGTAGGGAGAGCTTCAAATAACTTCACAACTGATGATTGGTAGTTTACCAAAGCAACAACCAAAAGGAATCTTAACTAGAATTCTGTAATAGCATAGGAGCTCCCCTTTTTGGAATTACCTTCTTCTGAAAATATATAGATTTATTTTCCCTATACTGCTAAAAAATGCTTTTCATATATTCATAGTCTATTACCATTGATGAGTGTTACTCCAGCACCAACTGACAGTTCAAATAGACCCCGAGTATAATCCTTACCAAGATAGCCAAACCTGCCCTAAACTTCTATTTTAATCATATAGAATATGTGAAATTCATCTTATTTCTACTGAAAACAACAGAAAATTTGATTGTCAACCCATACAGTTCTTACTGCTATGTCCTGTTATCCCAGCAGCTACAAGCATTCCTACTAATCAAGCATGAATATAATCTTTATCACTGCCCAAATGGCCAATCCCCCTAAAACCCTGCCTTTTGTTCCCTTTTCAATCCTATGTCACATGTAAAAGGCATTTTCTACTAAACAATGTACTCCTAGGTTTTGTTACCTGCTATGTCATGTTTTCTACTACTAAAGAATTTCATTGCCATTCTGGTGTTAAAGCAGCTCATTACATTCACAATAAACCTATATATAATCAAATACACAAATAGATAAAACCCATATTTCTTTTGATCTTATATCCATTCATTGGACAACAAGTCAGGACATCTCACTTTTTGATAAAGCTCCTATTGCCAATCATCGCCAGTTGCATGTCCACTCTTCTGGGCTGAAGCTACAAAATATGCATAAGTAGGTCAGCATTTGCACATCAAATTGTATGAAACTTAATCATGACAATTATATTGAGAAAAAAGCATTGCCTGCAGAATAGTGATATAGAATTATGGAAAACTATCATTCTATATCAAATCCCTAAAACAGTCGATGGTGTGGATTTCTTACCAGCTTTTTATACCCAAAGCCCTAATTCCTAAATCAACTCACCAGCATCTTTAGTGGAAGAACCTAAATCAAACAAAACAAAACATACACAGTTTCTTCGATAATAAACCAAACATAATAAAACATACCCATTGCAAAGTGTTCGCGAGCCAATCATAACCAGATCTGACATTAAAACCCTCATTAAAATTAAAAAAATCAAAAAAGGAGAAGAAGAAAACAGAGAGAGAGAGAGGGAGAGAGAGAGAGAGATTACTTGGAGTTTTTCCCTTCAAATTAGTGCTTGAGCTTGGTTCGTTTTCAGAGGGAGAGAATAAATTTTGGCGAACGAGGCGAGTTCGGTGGACTGAACGCGGTGAGCTCGATGGACTGAATGACGCGATGGAGATGGCGATCTCGGCAAACTCGGTGGATGGTGAGAGGGAGATGTGCTTCATCGATGTGAGAGAGAGTTGAGAGAGCGAGGGTTTTGTGAAAGTTTCGTGAGAGAATTTGAGATAGTATAGTGTTTGAGAGAGCGAGTGTTTTCTGAAAAGCTCCGCGCTCGCGAACTTAAATTGAACTGTTGTTTAGCGCCTCCTGAAAACACGACGGTCCTGATAAGGTATGGTCGTAATTTTAAAAATCAACCTAACATATTGGTGTATTAGGTACTTTACCAGGGCGATGTTATAAAATTGGTCGTCTTTTAAAATACCACGACAGTTTTTATATAAAGGGTCGTTTTTTGGGTGTCGTAGTTTAACATAATTGTAGTAGTGTTCAAATATGCATTGCGTGCAGCTCGCCACAAAAAGAAACACCTGGCTCGTTGGAAATGAACTCAGCTGCCATTTTCTATTTTAGCTTTTCATAATGAAGAGTCACCCTAAACCCTATACACACATCATCATAGAGTTCTCTATCAAAGGATCCTATAATTTCGTTATAGACAAAGAAAAATATCGTTTATAACCCATAAGTCATATAGGCTTGTCCTATTGGCAAAAAAATTCTCACATCACATTACACGTTTTGTCTTGTTTTTTTATTTTTAAATTTAACAATTATCATTCATGAGAATATTGAACTCACGATTTTTTCTAATAAAGTGAAAATTGAGTGCTACTAAATCAAATGTCAATGGTCAATCTCTTATAATTTGACTAGTACACCATGATACATCACTAATTATAAATTGGACGCTATAATAAATAAACACAAAAATCTGTATTGACTGACCCCTTATGGTTTGTTTTATACTCTCCTTTTTTTCCCTAATGAAACCTGCAAATGCCATACACTAATTAATAATATGAACAAGTCCAATAATTGAGAAACTTCTATTTTCAAACTCAAGACTTCAATGGAATGAGCTGTGGTTGTCCAAAATAGAATTTACTCACTACTACAGAAAACAAAATAGAAGACGGGGATCCACCGTCGTTGTAATGCTTTGAAAACCGTTGTTAAATCGACCGCCATCTTTTTGGGTGTCAAACTACGACTGCTTTTCACCGTCGTTGTTTATCTGTAAAGACGACGGTTTTTAAAGAAAATCGTCGTTGTTTAGAGGTAAAGATCGTTAATTATAGGAGGAAAGACAACGGTTTTATTAAAACCGTCATGGATTGTAGGTTAAGATGACTGTTTTTTATGAAAACCATCGTGGATTGTAGGTTAAGACGACGGTTTTTTATAAAAACCGTCATTAATTATCTATAAAGCCAACGGTTGGTTTATAAAAACCGTCGTTAATTATCTGTAAAGACCTTGATTTATTATGAAAACCGTCGTCTAATAAGTTCCCAAACTGCTACATTTTAGTTCTTTTTTATTTCATATGATGCTATACAACGATTTTAACTGGAAAACCAACTATAATGCTTTATTAATGAATATATACACTCAAAAATAGTTTCTTTCATAAAACTTGAAGATTCAATAGTTATTACATAGTTAACCAATCTTTATTCTACAACAAACATAATTCCTACCAATTAAGTAGTACAATCTTTTCCTAACAAGACCTACATACTCCTAATCCAAGCCTTCCTCATCCAAACACACAAATGATGTACAACTGAAGTTTCCTCCATCATCCCTGTAAAAAAATCAAAATGACAGAGAGAGAAAAAAAGCTAAGATTATAAACATATAAAATTAGGTGGAAGAGAAATTTTACCATTGGACCATATTTCCATAGAAAACTTGTAAAATGAGCATAAAAAAGACCATCGAGAACCTGCAAAAGAAAAAATATATAAA